ACGACGCTCTTCCGATCTGACCGCGCGGGGCCGCGGGTGGCTTCCGGCCTGGGCCCGCCTCTCCCCCGCGACGCTGCCCGTTGGCCTCCCCGCCCCTGGGGCCGCGGGGGCCGGCGCTGCCGGGGCGGAGGGGGATCCCGAGCCGGAGCGGGCGCGCCGGCGCGCGGCCGGGCTTCCCCGGTGCCCCCGGGAGCGGGAGACGCGCGGGGCTGGGGAGGAGGCGGGCACGCGGGCGGAGCGGGCCGCTCCCGGCCCCCGCGAGCCGGAGGAAGCGGCGAGGTGAAGCCCTGGGCGCCCGCGGAGGGGGCGGGGGCTTGACACCGGGCGCCGACCTCAGCCCGCCCGGGCTCCCCCCCTGCGGCGTGGATGCGAAGGGGACCGCCCTCCGGGCGCCTTGAGAACTTAGAAAGAAAAACCCCAAGTGTTTTCAAACGTCCCGCCGGGATGGAAGGAGAGGAGGAAGGACGGTGGAGGGGCGACAGCCTGACATTTCGGGCGGCGGGCTCTGCCGCTGCTGGGTGGAGGGGCCCTGGGTGCGTCCGTGGCGGGGTCGGCAGGAAAAGTTTTTCCGGGGGTCGTGAAGGCTTCTTTGCTCCTGCCTTTCTGTTTGCGGAATCTGCAACTGGAGGCCAGTTTTGCCCCAAGCACTAACTAGACAGAAGTACAGACACTTCCTGTTTGCAGCTCCTGAGAACGTGTTCCAGTGATGGAACCTCAAAGGAATTTGTGCATTCCTCTCCCACAAGTGTCGAGGGCCAGGGGTGCTGGGAGAATTAGTTCACAAGAGAAGCTAACATGGCAGAGCCCTGAGAGATAAGCCAGTGTTCAAGGGGAAGAAGGAAAAAAAAATGAGTGAGCCAAAGCATAGTCCTCCAAATAGAAAAAGCCTGGGTAAAAACAAGCTACTCATTAGGTCACATTTGTAACTTTCGAAGACACGCGTTCGGTAAGCTTACACAAAGGGGCGATCCGCCGCTATATGCTAGACACACAAACCTCTTTCACACTTGGTGTGTCCAGAGCCAAGTGTCCCACTTCTTGCCAGAAGGAAAGGCCGTGTCGGGAAGGAGACCCTGTTACTGACTTTCACCCGGGTGGGAAGGAAGGAAGGATATTCCAGTTAGAACAAAGTCGTGTGAAGAGGGGTGGTGATCTGTGGATCAGTGCACCAACGCTTTGATTATTAGGCTGGAAGGATAGACAGGAGCTGAATCCGAAAACTCCCGACTTTACATCATGTGACAGCCCTTAGAGCCACAACCAGTCAGCTTGGAGTTTGGGCAAGGTTGAGGATGCAGCCTTGGCTGTGTGTAAAAGGTGAGTTTCTGAGGGAGATTCAATACCCTAGAAATAGCTGGAAGGCCCAAAGGCTAACTGTTGACAAATACTCCACGGATCTTTGGTGAGTTTGCACTCATGGAGTCTCGGAATATTTGGGAACTCTCAAATTCTTAAGCAGTTGGGAAAGCTCAGTTTCTAGTTGTGAAGAAATAGATAAAAAATGAGAAGTTCTGTATTACAGGAGAAAGAAAATGAGATTGGAGCAGTGGTTCAGAAGCAGCCTTTCTATGAAAAATAATAATTGTGTGCAAGGTAGAAAAGTATCCCACTTTGTGGCAACCTTTGTGTAATAAAAGTTTATTTAAAAGTTAAACTAACAGTTGGAGTTACTAATGCTGCTGAGAGTTGTGGCTGTGGGCTTCAACCAAGAGACATTATATTGAACCGAGCCTGGAGTTATCAGTAGGCCAGGAGAAAATACACACAATAAAGACAATGTTCTTGGCAAAATACCTGAAAGCTGGTTGGGGATATACAGCTCAATAACAGAATGCTTGCCCACGTGCTCAGGGGCCTGGATTTGATCACTACTGCCCCCGCTGAAAGAAAAGCAAGAAATAGAATTTAATAGGCGTGTAGCAGATAATACCCTCCACATTGTTAAACTATGAAGACAGTGCAAGCATCCAGGTTTAGAGAGAGAAGCCCGTGCGCCACGATGCTAGGTCCTCAGCTACCTCCACTCAGTTTGCCAACACAGCTGCTCCCGGGCTTTTTCTGGGTGCCCCACAAAATACCATGATGCCACTCCCTGACGCAGGAGCTACTCCTCAGTTACGGCATGTTTTGGGTTTGAAGTCCTTCCTCACAAGACACTCTGCTTGTACTTACTTGACCTTTTCTGTTTGGTTTTGCAAGGTCTGTGTTTGAAATTAGGGATCGTCATGAGGAATAAGCACTTCAGGTGGTCTATAAGTGTAAACTGACGCAAATTATCTCCTAAAATATATAGTGATTTTCCCCACGAGGTGCCATGAAACAGTACCAAGAAGCAGACGTCAGCTATGTGATGATTGCTGCCATCTCCTGTTAATAAGGCTTGTGTAGCCTCTCCCAATCCTAAGAGGATCAGACAGGAGAGCAAAGACTGAACCCACGTGCAGTGGCTATTCCCATTCCTGCAACCCCCCCTTCTCTTCCACCAAATCTTGTGACCCAATGAGACTACTTTAAATGATGAGAACGGGTGAGACTCGCATCTCATCTCCGCAGTTTGGGAGATGCTTTTCCACCAGCCTTCCAGTGAACCTCCAGGTTATCTAATCACATACCCATCGTTTTTTTAGTTGTTCAACAAGTTCCAAGGTTGGTATATTGTGTAGGCTAGGATGAGACTTACAAAACGAAACTCCTAGCAACCCACCGCTCACAGTAAATATGAAATGCAAACTTACTAATCTGTGAACTTAGAGTGGGTTTTTGTTTTTTTTTTTACCCTGTAACTTTTCTCGATGTTTCTTTCACATTTTTTAGGTTTTGGGTTTTGGTTTTGATGTTTTGCTTTGTTGTGGGCTCTTTCTAGTACTTTGCAATCACTTGTCTCCTTCAGGCTGTAAACTTTTCTCTTTCTACCTCTACTGACTGGGTAAACTGAATTTGTTTACTGGGAAGCCAGGTGAAGTCCAGCTGTAGTTTACAAGGCTCTACCTGCCATAGTCTGCAGACTCCGAAGTCCAGTGACGTGCTTGACATCCGGGGGTCTCCCCAGGACATAGCGTGTGGAACCTGCGGCAGGCTGAGATCTCAGGCGGGAGTATCTGTAAGCCTGGGCTCTAGAACACAGTGATCATTTCCCGCTTTGTATCTTTGAGATAACTCTGAGGTAGCACTATTCCTAATTGTCTGAGAAAGCACCAGATTGTTTCCCAAAGTGGTTGTACAAGGTTACATTCCCAACAACAATGGAGGAGGGTTCCCCTTTCTCCACATTCTCTCCAGCATGCATCATCCATCAGAAGGGCAAACAGGATAGGCATCAGATGTAGGAGAAGACAAGGAACTGGACAGGAGCCTACCACAGAGGACTTCTGAAAGACTGTACCCACCAGGATATCGAAGGAGATACTGAGACTCGGCCAAACTTTGGAGTGCTAGAATCCTTATGGAAGAAGAGGGAGAAAGAAAGACCTGGAGGAGTCAGGAACTCCACAAGGAGAACAACAGAGCCAAAATACCTGGGTCTAGCGGGGCCTTCAGGGACCGATACTCCAACAAAGAACCATGCATGGAGAGGACCTAGATGGCCTGTTCAAAGGGACCCCAACTCCAAGTTGGTTCCCTAGTAAGGGGTACAAGGGCTGTCTCTGACACAAACTCAGTGGGCAGCTCTTTGATCACCTCCCTGGGGCAGGGGGTGCAGCCTTGCCAGGCCATAGAAAAGATGATGCAGCCTGCCTTGATGAGACCTGATAAGCTAGGGTCAGATAGGAAGGGGAGGAGGTCCTCCCTATCAGGTGACTAGGGAAAGGGCATGGGGGAGAAGACGGAGTGGAATTGGGAGGAGATGAGGAAGGGGACTGCAGCAGGGATAGAAAGTAAATAAACTGTAATAAATAAATATATAAATAAAATTAAATTAAAAAAAAAAAAAAACAAGACAGGCAGAAATCCTAAACAGAGATACCTCTCATTAAAAAAGAAAGAACAAGTTAATGATTAAGTTCTGGCAAGATGATTCTTTTAAAATTCCCTTTGTCCATTTTCAGAGGTGATAAAAGTGGGTAAGCCCTTTAGAAAACAGTTTTGGAG